AATCAAACTCTCTAACATGGTTTTATTGTCTGGCCCCAGCCTACTTTTCATTTCTCATATTTGTCACAGACTCCACCTATTCCCATGCACTTTAGACTCAGGCAATCAAAAACAGCAGTACAGCTGGAAACAGGCTGCATGCTTTCATGTTCTGTGACTTTACATCCCCTACTCTTGTGGCAGTCTCGAGCACCATCCTCATCTGCTCTGACATCCTAGCCACCCGCTCTGGGGGCAATTTCTGCTACTCTATAATATTCTATGAAACTTTACTTATCTGAAGGCTTCTCTAAGCTCCCCAGGCTATTCTGTAGTTCCTATTCTGTCTTGTAACAATTATCACGTAGTTAACATTGTTTCCCCAATAAACTGTAAGTCCTTCAGTAGGAGGGAAAACGTCTTATTTACCTTTGTTTTCATGCCATGCTTAACCTAGAGGTTGGCAGTAAACAGGTGCTTCTCAAAACAAACAAAACAAATCACATGATTCCTCTCACCTGAGCTGTAGGTATTAAATAGATGCTGGGGAACCTAGGGAACTGGGTGCAGCTGTGAAAGCACCTGAACCACATAGTACTGTTTGTGGGGAGTTTGTGGGGAGTTTGTGGGGAACCTTGCCTTCCTAATACTGCCTTCAGGCATTAGCCCTGCTTTGTGAAGCTCCTTATTTACTTACTTCCTCATCAAAAGAAACAAAACCTCTTTTTTCCTGTCTTCGTCTGGAGCCAGCCCTTCATAATTCTTAATAGCTTGAAATGATAATATTGGCGATACCTTCCAGGTTTAATAATACTATTTTACATTTATTGAGTGCTTACTGTGTGTTTTTCTCTTTACCTTTGTGTTTTTTTATATATTACCTCATCTAATCTTTACAACAATCCAGGAAAGTAGGTGCTATTATCCCAATTTTAACAAATGGGGGGAAACAAGGGGGACTACACTGCCCAAAGCCATACAACTGTTAACTTAAGAGAGCCAGATTCTGAGTCTGGTGTAGCCTTGGAGCTCATTCTCTTATTCACCAAGAGTTAATATTGCCTGACCATAACTGAAGTTCAAATAGCAGCATGGTTATAGTGCGGATTTTAAAATAAACTAAAATAATCTAGATTACAGTAGCCTACACCTGTAATCCCAGAACTTTGGGAGACTGAGGCAGGAGGATCGCTTGAACCCAAGAGTTCCAGACCAGCCTAAGCAACACAGTGAGACCTCATCTCTTAAAAAAAAAAGTTACAAAATTAGACAGACATGGTGTTGTGCACCTGTAGGGATGCTGAGACAGAAGGATAACCTGAGCCCAGGCAGTAATTTGTGATCATGCAACTGCACTCCAGCATGGGCGACAGAGTGAGACCCCTGGCTCAAAAATGAAATAAAATAATCTAGACCTGGATTCAAAATCCATTTACTGGTGGCAAGTAACCTCACTTCTGACCTTCAGTCTCCTCATAGGTAAAAATGGCAATATCTACCTGAAAAAGGTTATTGCCCAACAGAAGTGTATGGTACATGCTAGTAAATGTTAGCTCCATCTGCCTCTGCTGCATTTTGAGATCTGGGGGTAAAGGCTTGTAAAAAATAAAACTTGAGAAGACAAACAACCATCAGACAAACAAGTTATCATACTCTGTCTTCTGTATGGTATTACCATAGTGTAAAACAGTGCTTGCCTTCCAGGATCTCCTAGTGTTTTATGGCTGTGATTGCATTTATTCTTTTAATGAGAAGGGTGCATCTTGGGTATTTAACAGTTAATTACCCATAAATGTGAGGGGGACCCCCCCAAAAATTAATCTTTTTTATTTTGGAGGATGGGCCCCTTATAGTATACTTGAAATTTGTACCTCCAAATCACACGGTCAACCAAAGTTTTTATCTGGAAGTTTTAAGAAAGTTGCATCACAATTTATGGAAGAAACATCCCAACTTGTGGCAAACAAGTGACTGACTGGTACTTCCACCATGACAGCGCACCTAGCCACACTGCACTGATTGTTCAGCAGTTTTTGACTAAAAACAACATGACCCCCATGTCCCACCCTCCTTATTTACCTGATCTCACCCTGAGTGACTTTTTTTGTTTCTTTGGATGAAAAAAGTTATCTAAGGGAAATGTTTTGCCTATGTGGAAGAGGTGAAACAAAAAATGGCAGAATCACCAAAAGGCATCAAAATTGACGAGTTCAAAAACTTTTGAGCAGTGGAAAAATCATCTCAATAGGTGTATTGCATCAAACAGAAAGTAATTTGTTAAAGGTGACTGAAGTTTAAACATGTAAGAATAGATCACAATTTTTTATAAATAAATTCTGGGTTTTTCTGGGTCCCCCTGTTTGTTCTAGTAAAACAAGGAATAAAATTGATGATTCATCTCCTATACTAGGCTTCTCTTTGTAATACTTAGGGAAGATACGAGATTCTGTCAGTTGTCATTTATTATATAAAATAGTTGTCCCAGTGGTTCCATAACAGACCTGTCAGTGCCATTCAACAAAGAAAATCAAACACAGCTGCTATTTTGGTGTGGCTTGTGGTTTTGGTTTTGTTTTCATTTGAACTTTTTTTTATGCAGGCAGATCATCATTTAAAAGTAGTCATTTGGCGTTTTCTCTTGCATTCTTTGAATTTTTTGTATGTTTTTAAAAACTTAACTTGTCATTTCTATAATTGTACACACAGATTGAGCCATCTGTTTTTTTTTTTTTACTAGCCAATGAATTTTTTTTAAGTATAGGAAATAGGATAATTATATTTTAAATTCTGTAATTTCAGCGGATCTCTTTTATAAATTTGAAGAAAAAAAAAATTTTTGTGAGTCAGAGTCTCATTCTGTTGTCCAGGGTAGATTGCAGTGGCACACTCAATAGCTACCACATCCTTGACCTCCTGGTCTCAGGCAGTTCTTCCACCTCAGCATTCCAAGTAGCTGGGACTGTAGGCACTTGCCACTGCACCTGGCTAGTTTTTTAATTTTATTGTAGAGACAAAGTCTCGCCCAGCTGCCCAAGCTGGTTGCAAGAACCCCTGGACTCAGTCAGTCATCTTGCCTCGGCCTTCCAAAGCGCTGGGATTATAGGTGTGAGCAACTGCATCTGGCAAATATTTTTGACTATCAAAAGTAGTTTTCTTATATTCTTCTCTGCCTTCCATTTAATTTCTGTATTTTCAGAGGTAGGAGGAGGACTGGAAATTTCTGCTATTCCTGCTCTCTATTGCCTTTGTATGTTATAACTCTGAAGCATCCCATAATCACTTAGTTGCAACACAATTGGTGCCGCACAATTGTGTTCACATTAGGTCCTATTGGTCTCTCTAAGTCACAACCGAGGTGGAGGATGGATTATAGGGAACAAACATAGGTGCAGGGAGATCATTTAGTCCTTTGTAGTGGTCTAGTCAGGAAATATTAGTGGCTTGACCCACAGTACTGAGAGTGGTAGTAAAGGAATGTAGACAGAATAAGGAGAGAATTAATGAAATTTGTTGATGGGTTAGATGTTGATAGATGTAAGACAGAAACAGGAGTCAGGTTTCTAGATTAGATGCAGCATGCCGCTTACCTCTCTTTCATTTGTTCAACTCCTGGTTATAGTTAAAGGATTCTGTTTATATGTGGGAAACATTTCCACCCCAACCTCCACTGAGTTAGATGATCACACTATGTGCTTTCATAGAACGTGGCACTTCTCCATGATGACACTTCTTCTGTTTTTTAACTGTGAATTTGATTACCCCACACACAACATACACATAATCTTCACACTCTTGCCTTTGTCTTGTGAGAGTAAGGGCCATGTTTGTCTTATTCTTCATTATATTCCCAGCACCTAACATGGTCTTGGGGACACCAGTGTACTTTTGATGAATAAGCAAACGGTGTCATTTATAGCTGTTGCCTGGTCAAATATAGTAGGCCCTTATCTGGGCCTTTTTGATTCATTTCTCTAACTTAACTTTCATTTATTTTTGTTTGCTATCTCTCACTTTACCTTTTGTTATACCCTTACAGTGTAGCTTAGTGGATAAAAGAAAATATAAACAGCAAGAAATAAGCTTGTGTCTTATGGATTTTGATAGTTTCTTCCAAAATAATTCCCAAGTTTATTGACATCTAAAAAGTTAAGGGCCTTCAAATCATAATAGCACTTATTAGTTTTTAAAATATTACAAGTTCTCAACACAGGTTCTTGGAACCTTGTGCTGACAAAGAGAGTCATAAATCCCATTTGTGTGTAGATCAGTTCATTTCTATCAGAAGTATTAGGCCTGGGTTATTTGAGAAAGTAGACAGGTCATTGTAAATTCATCATCATCGTGCTTCAAGAAAAAGGCATTAATGACACTTTATATTATTATAAATATATACCTAAATCATACTTTAAGAACAGAATGATCTAAGATATTACTCAGACAAGAGTCAATACCCCCCCCTCAAAAAAAAGAAAATTACAAAGATTGATTTAAGAAAGAAACACTAAGCCATATAATTTCTCATTATTTCAGGTAGGGAGTGGGGGCAGAAAAAGGAAAATAATTTGATTTCTCTAGGCTTTACTTATCTTAAAATAAGTACAGTGGACCCATAAGCTAAAATATTCATTTTGGCCCAAATTCTGTTGCTCCATAAATTAGAAGAGCATGATAAAGGGGATATGTGGTGGGAATTTTGGGTTGAATCTCAATTTACTTTTCATTCTTCCCGTGACTTCATTTCTGTCTTGATGAGACCTAACTTAGAGAATGCATTCAAATATGTTTTTTCAAGCAACTTTATTAAGCTTAATTAACTACAAGTGGTTTTTCTAATCTCTTCTGAAATCAATTCTTGACAGCCTAATTTAGAGCAACAGTGTCAATTAAAATAAAATTTAAGATGAATTATTGTTATCCTAATCAATTCAAACTACAGAAAATGAATTTTCTATTTAGTAATGAAATAATGTATTCCTCTATAGTTGTCTGTGTTTTAACAGATGTTTTCTTTCTTTGGTTTAGGTCTCTGTTTTGGGATAACCGTACATCTAATTCCTTAAAGTAGTTTTATATGTAAAACTTGCAAGATCAGAACAATGCCTCCACGACCATCATCAGGTGAACTGTGGGGCATCCACTTGATGCCCCCGAGAATCCTAGTAGAATGTTTACTACCAAATGGAATGATAGTGACTTTAGAATGCCTCCGTGAGGCTACATTAATAACTATAAAGCATGAACTATTTAAAGAAGCAAGAAAATACCCTCTGCATCAACTTCTTCAAGATGAATCTTCTTACATTTTCGTAAGTGTTACCCAAGAAGCAGAAAGGGAAGAATTTTTTGATGAAACAAGACGACTTTGTGACCTTCGGCTTTTTCAACCCTTTTTAAAAGTAATTGAACCAGTAGGCAACCGTGAAGAAAAGATCCTCAATCGAGAAATTGGTATGATATGACTTTCAGCTAAATGGAATTTTTATCCTATTCTAAAATGTAAATAATTATTAAGCTTAACTATTGTCTCATTACTAAAATATTTCTCAACCAGTACCTTTTTAATCTTAAATAGCTTTCTAAATAAAAAAATCATTAGAAATCTAAAGTATTTTTGACTAATGAGCAATGAATCTATTTTTAACACCTCAATATTAGTCTATAAAGTTTTCTTTAAGCAGTATCATTTGCAGGATGACAGACTTGTTATACCCCAGCTTTGTTTTATTATTTAAAAAAAAACAACAACAAGATTGATATGGATAATGTTTGCTGTCTTTGGGCTATATTGTTGAATATATTGTCTTTCATATGTTAAAAATATGTGGGACCTTGTCAACTTTTAACATACATTTATTAATCAAACTTTTTTTAACCCAGAGAAACTTTTTATGCTGTTATGGTCTTCCAAAGCTACTAAGTTCCCTGTTTGTAAAAAAATGTTTATATTCTGTGTTTAATAGAATGTTATATTCTTTGTGCATTTTTTCCAGGTTTTGCTATTGGTATGCCAGTGTGTGAGTTTGATATGGTTAAAGATCCAGAAGTACAGGACTTCCGAAGAAATATTCTGAATGTTTGTAAAGAAGCTGTGGATCTTAGGGATCTCAATTCACCTCATAGTAGAGCAATGTATGTCTATCCTCCAAATGTAGAATCTTCACCAGAACTGCCAAAGCACATATATAATAAATTAGATAAAGGTAAGAAAATGGTCAGCCTGCTATAATAATTACTATAGTGAAATCTTCTATCTGTGCCTATATTTTCATATAGTCTTTTTTTTCCAGCTAGATAATAAGCTTCTTGAAGGCAGGGACTGCTTACACAAACAAGTTGCATGCCAAGTATACAAATTGTGTGCATAAATATTTACTGATTAAATGAATTGTGTGGATATGGTGCTGATTTCTTGCAAATTGTCTATCTCAATAAAATTGGAGAAATTCACTGTTTTTTAGGATACTAGCAGGATTAAAGCTGATTCTCTTTTTACAAATAAAAACAGGTATAAATAGTAGCATTTTATGAAATTTGGAGAAAACATTTTTTACACATTCTTGTTATATATCATGCAGAACAAATAAATTTTTTTTTTTTTTTTGAGTTGGAGTCTCATTCTGTCGCCCAGACTGGAGTACAGTGGCCGCTCCTGGCCACCACAGCCTCGACCTGCTGGGCTCCAGCGATCCTTCCGCCTCAACCTTCCGAGTAGCTGGAACTACAGGCGCGCGCTACCACGCCTGGCTAATTTTTTTTTTATTTATTGTAGAGATGAGGTCTCGCCTGCCCAGGAAGGTCTCGAACCCGCGGGCTCAGGCAATCCACTCACCTCAGCCTCCCAAAGGTGCAGGATTACAGGCTGAGCCACCGAGCCCTGCTAAATAATTTTTTTAAATGCTGTCCAATCATAATGAATGACAAAATAGGTAGACTTTTGACATTTAATATATGATTTCTAGAATTAAATAAACATGAAAATACATAAACTGTATTATTTTGGAAGTAAATACCATTGTACCAGATAAATATCTGTTATTTTTCAAGATAACAAAGTGAAAGTTTCAATTTGAAGTAATAAGTTAACTCTCACACACTATTAAATAAAATATTCTGTTAGTAGACTAAAACCTTATTACTATTTCATTCATATATTTCAAAATAGTTTGGCATAACATAAGCTCTTCATTCAGAATTCTTTTCTACTCTAACATACTTTTTAAGTAAAATGCTCTCACAGGCACAAGGATAGGAACAGACACTGGGACACTTCTGAAGCGGGAGGATGGAGGGAGACTAGGGTTGAAAAACTATCCACTGGGTGCCATGTCCACCACAGGTGACAGGCTCAGTAGAAACCCAAACCTCACCATCATGCAGTAGATCCATGAAGCAAATCTGCACATGTAGCCCTTGAATCTGACATAAAATTTAAAAATAAAATAAGTAAATATACATCAATTCTGTGACCCAGAAATTTCACTTCATTGAATTTTTCTCAAGAGAAATAAGAACTTATTATGTACATTAAAATGCTCATGGCAGCTTTATGTACATAATCTACAAAAACTAAAAGCAACTCAATTGTATATCAACAAGAAAACATTCATCCAAATGCAACACCACTCAGCAATAAAACAAAAGAATTAACAACTGATACATGGTAAGCACATGTCATGTGGAATAAAGAAAAGTCTACATAAAGGTTTAAAACAAAATGTTATTTATTTCATTTTTCCCAATTTTTTATGAAAATGTTTCCAACATATAAAAATGGAAAGATTTGTACCAACCCAGGCTCCACTCTAATATAGTTTTGATCTTTTCATTTTCTTTCCATTCATCTTTTTTTTCTTTTCTGTCTCTGGCTTAATTGATCTTAAAGTGAGAAAATTAGGAAACCCATTTCCACAAGGGTACCTGCCTAATGAACATGTACACATCTAACCCTGAATTATGCCCCACTTCTTCAAAATTAAAAATTAAAAAAAAAAGAAAACCCATTTCCTCTCCCCTCTTCATTCCCCTTCCGTCCCCTACCTTCTCTGTCTTTCTAATTCAGCATCTTTCGGCCTCCACTGGTTCTGTATTTTCCATAGTTACCAAAAAACTCTTCCACGTTAGGCACTGCTGAACCTTTGATACTATCTTGAGTCACTCTTAACAGGGAATGCACCCACACGGTTTCGAATGGTGATTTGCTCGGTCTCGTGTCCTTGTGACCCACTAGTCACAGTTGTGTGTGCTTGTCATAAAACATGAGATTTAGGCATGATCTGGAACCCTCCCAGATATGAAAATTTCCTGTTTTTACCTGATATTTGCCTAAACTTAATTAGGCTGATTATAAATCAGTTTCTATTATGATTAGAATGATGATGGTACATACGTTTTGAAATGTATCTCTTGAAGAATGAAATAGATATGGTGATTGCATCTAATAATGTTTTCCTGTTGCAGGGCAAATAATAGTGGTGATTTGGGTAATAGTTTCTCCAAATAATGACAAGCAGAAGTATACTCTGAAAATTAACCATGACTGTGTGCCAGAACAAGTAATTGCTGAAGCAATCAGGAAAAAAACAAGAAGTATGTTGCTATCCTCTGAGCAACTAAAACTCTGTGTTTTAGAATATCAGGGCAAATACATTTTAAAAGTGTGTGGATGTGATGAATACTTTCTAGAAAAATATCCTCTGAGTCAGTATAAGGTGAGTACCAGGTTTCAAGAATATTAATTTTAAATTTAACAGATAATCATATCGAGGACTAATATCTGTATTTTTAGGACATACTTTATGAAAATTAAATAATTAATATTAATAAATCACATTTTTACATTTATTTTTTATACTGTGTTTATTTAATTTGCGAGGATGAAAACGTTGGCAGTTACACTAACTCCAAAATGTGGGTTGTTTATATTAAAAATCTCTATTTTAACTTCCATTTCTAAATTCAGACTAGTGCATTTGTCAATATATCCATATTTTTTTTTTTTTTTAGTTGAGCTCTCACTCTATCACCCAGGCTGGAGTGCAGTGGCATACTCACTGCCACCCCAGCGTTGACTTGCTGGGCTCCAGCAATCCTTCCACCTCAGCCTTCCAAGTAGCCGGAACCACAGGCGTGCACTCCCACACCCGGCTAATTTTTTATTTTATTGTAGCTTTGAGGTCTCGTCAAGTTCCTCGGGCTGGTCTCGAACTCATGGGCTCAAGCAATCCACTCGCCTCGGCCTCCCAAAGGGCTGGGGTCACAGGCCGAGTCACCAAGCCTGGTCTATATCCATAATTTTATCCACGTCTTCTGTTGGTGGTTTTTCATTTTGTTTTGTTTTTATGATGTTTATCACCTTAAGCAATGACACTGGAATAGAATTAAAATAGACCTTTTACTACTGTTAAGATGTACTATTAGTACTTCCCCATTCTTTTTGTCTCTTCATTAAATAAATACCTATTAAGAAGCAACTGTCTGTGCCAAGTATATGCCAAGTACTGATTTACAATACTAAGCAAAACATGGTCTGTCCTTCACCTTCCTTATTTTATAGTGGGGCTTTTGGGTAAGAAAATAATATGTATTCAGTAGTATTTATATTAAAAACCTCAGCGGACAGTAGACATCCTTGCTGTTGTCCTGCTTTGTATGCCCTTCACGGTGTATCTTCCTTTTAATAAATATACCTGTCTTAATTAAAAAACAAAACAAAGCACCTCTATCCTAAGTTCCATTTCAAAGTTCAGACCATGGAATTTTAATATTTTTATAAACATATCCATAGTTGTATCAGTCTCTTCTGTTTTTGCTTTTTTGTTTTGTTTGTTTTGTTTTTTGACAAGACTAATGTTCGTAAGGAAATGCTTGGACAGAAGAGCAAGTGGGCATCAGCCCTTGCATGAGACATCATCACATTTGAATTATTTACTTAATAGATTGAGCTACAGAGGCTTCCTAAATGATGTCTCTTTTCTCTTATCAAGTATGCTGTTTTCATAATAAGTATCCTGTGATCCTTATTTTTAATTCCTTTTTTTTTTAACCTTCAGTTAAGGGTAGAACTACAGTGTCAAAACCTGACCTCTTTTTCTTTTGTACAGTTTATATTCAGAGGTATTTGGTTAATCCTGTGCTGTAACCTAACTTCCAAATGTATCAACTACTAATAGATGTAGGCCATAACATTTGATTTTTTTAAACCACCTTTGCGGATTAGTGTGTAAATTCTCATAATAATCTCACATGTTGCTTTTAAAATGAAAAATCTAACAGGAAATGGTTTCTCCCCTTGTTCTCCTACAGTATATAAGAAGCTGTATAATGCTTGGGAGGATGCCCAATCTGATGCTGATGGCTAAGGAAAGCCTCTACTCTCAGCTGCCAATGGACTGTTTTACAATGCCGTCTTATTCCAGACGCATTTCCACAGCTACACCTTATATGAATGGAGAAACATCTACAAAATCCCTTTGGGTTATAAATAGTGCACTCAGAATTAAAATTCTTTGTGCCACCTATGTAAATGTAAATATTCGAGACATTGATAAGGTAAAGTCAAATCCGGTGCTTATTTTTTATTCAATTGTATAATAATTTGCTGACCTGTAGTATGTTTTCAGATGGCAAGAAAAACACCCAAATCTCTGAAAGTAAAAATATATAATGAATTATACATGAGCTTCCACCTACCTCAGCTCACAGCTCTTTGTCAATAATTCTAATATCCATAATTCTAGCTCTTAAAACCCAAAGTTTTAAAGAATTTATTTGGCAGAAAACCTGACCTGTGGAGCCTGAAGTGAGTCTTTTAATAATCTTTATTAATCTCACTTCGTGAAAATATTCATGTGTTTCTTATTACAGAAATAGTAACATCTTTATGCTCCAACTGCTAAGGGCTTTGTTCTTTTTTTCCCCCAGTTTAAAAAATTTTTTAAAAATCTTTCTGTTTTGATTCTCATTTGTTACAGCAATCCAGCTGCTAAGGGTTTTAAGTAATATTTAGTATATGTTACAATTTATCTTTCTAAAATAGGAAAAACTCTGAATTTATACCTGGCTTAAAGGTATGGGGCAACCCCCTCAGATCCCCTCCCACTGTGGGAGCTTTTCTGTCCTCTCAATAAATCCTGTTTTCAAGAAGAAAAAGGGATTATGGACATATATTAATTTTTCAGTAGTCTGTCTGTATCATTATTAACAAATGAAGGTAGCAACAAATTTTGGTGAAGAATCTACATCAATATTAACTTATATATGTGAAGAAGAAAAGGAGAACAGGAAAACTATAAACAAAAATGTTATGGTTTTATATTTGGTTCTATCTATGTGTGTATGCATATGTATGAGTATATATATTTGTATACACATACTTTTTTTTTTAGATCTATGTTCGAACAGGCATCTATCATGGAGGAGAACCCTTGTGTGACAATGTGAACACTCAAAGAGTACCTTGTTCCAATCCCAGGTAAGGAAGTATATGGATTTATATTTCCAAAGGTCATATTAGCATTTAGCAATGTGATCAGTAAAAATAGTATATTTTACATCATTAGTTTTATACAAGTTGTATAAATTACCAGACATTTACATATAGACTTTCTGTCAAATGAGTACGAATCCCAGGACCACTTTATTGATTATCTCCAAAATTTTATCAGAAGAGTTTTTCTGATTTTCTTATTGTAGCAAGAAGAGAGCAGAATATGGTTAAAATTGTGCTGATGATTTCTGCATTAGATTTTAAAACCTAGCATTTTATTCTTTTCTTATCTCCATCCTCAATTACATGAAGGAGAAGAAAAGTGGCAAACAACTCTACAACCAATCTACTTTGAGGCAGTTTCCTTCAAGTCACTCTCAAGAATAGCTATTTATGGCATTTAAATAAGGGGTCTTTGGGAACAAATGAGTTTGGGGGGAGAGGTTTTGGGGAACGTTTAAAATTATTTAAATATTGCCTAGATGTTATGAAAAAATAAAAAGTAGTATAATCCAATAACCTGTCATCCTGCTATTTTTTTGCCTCTCTGTATAGAATCATTTCGGAATAAGAGTCTATCCCAGAATATAATAGCAGTAATATTTTGAGAGAACTCAAATTGATATTGAAGATTGGAAGTGGTTTTTCTAAAACAGAAATAGAGCTAACTAGTGAATCCTTCAAAAGTAAATCTCACAGTGAATCAAGACTGCATTCTAGGAGATGCCAGAAAAAGTACTGTTCTTATAATTAAGTTGCTAAAGGTAGCTACCCTCCAAGAGCCCAGGTAAAGTTCACAGAGACAGAAGCCTTCTCTTCCAGAAGGAGGAGAGAGTTTCTCAGTCTGCCTAAACCACTGTAGGTCATTCAGGGTAGAAGTAATGTTGTGGCAACAAACAATCCCAGATTTTTAAAAACTTTTTGTTCCAACAGCAGTTTATTTCCCACTCATGCAGTATGTCTGCCACAGGTTGGGTTGGGGAAGTTGTGCGAGCAATAGAAAACCAATATTTGGAGAAATAATGGCCAGAATTTTTCCAAATTTAGTAGAATTATAAATTCATCAGTCCAAGGAGTTCAACAAGCCCCAAGCAAAGACCCAAAAATGATACTGGATAGATTTATCCTAGTTGTCTCAAGTATCAAAAGTAAATTAACCCTATAAAAGTGAATGGCAATTTTATTTAATAATATATGATTAAAGTGTTGAAATTTTAGTAAAGTAGCTATTTATAGAGCTATTTATTTGATTATTTTTTCTTCATATATTCTCTAGGTGGTATAAAGATTTAAGTAATTTTTTTAACTTTTGTGTGTTTACAAAAATGAAAAATCAGAAAAAATGTGAAATTATTAGAAACATAGAAAAGTAGATTTTTAAAAATTGTTGCTTATAATAAGTATTTGTTCCAAATCTGTGCCTCCCGTTTACAAGGTATATTAGATCATTTATGATTTCTTCATAAATGTTACCAGTTATCTCCCAGAATCAGAGTCAATTTGGAATGCATACACACACACGCGTGCATGCACGCACACGAATGAAGCCATTTTCTAAAAATAGTGGGTGTGGATGTGTATGAGAGAGGGAGAGAGAGAGAGAGAGAGAAAGAGAGAGAGAGAGTGTGAGTGTGTGTGTGTGTGTGTGTGTTTGTGTGTGTGTGTTGTAGGATGGATGGACTTCAGAAAAAGAGAAAAAAATGCTTTATTCCATCAGCACAGTGCTGAACAACTAAGATTCGCACAGGACAGAACTCTCTTTGAAAGTGTGTACAAGAACATTTATTGCTGAGTGTTGTGGTGCGTGCCTGAGGTCTCAGCTACTTGGGAGTATGCGGGGAGGCTGAGGCAAGATTACTTGAGCCCAGAAGTTCGAGGCTGCAGTGTGCAGTGATCACTCCTGTGAATAACCACTGCACTCCAATTTGGGTGACATAGCAAGAATCCCATCTCTAAAAAATAACAATAACAATATTTATTGTATCTTTTACATTTAGAATTCTGGCCAAATTTCTCCTTTTTTAATGTGTCTTCTTTCTATAAGTAGACCATAGTTTTTAAATCTTTTCTCATACTTGAGCAAAGATACTAAAATAAATAGAACTTATTTGACTCATAAAGTTTATAATTTTGTCTGGATAATGAAAATAGGATTTTTGTACCATTGTTGATTAAGAATTGTTTTATCTGTAATCAAATACTAAAATAGAATGATGTAGACGGCATTTGAGAAATTTTCGAAGTTAACATCTAACATTTGAGCTTTTCCCAAAGGCCAGTCACTATTCTTACCCCCTTACTTACATTATCTAATCTCATGAGATAGTACCGTCCTCATGTGGGTAGATCCTGTTTCACTATTTCCCATGTCACAGAGGAGGCAAAAGAGAAAGCAAGGGTCACATATTTAGTAAAATAGTAGAAACAAGATTCTACTCTAAGCAGTCTGATTCCTGAGTCCTTACTCTTTAACTATCGTTATAATATTTTTAAAAAACACAAAACTCTTTATTGTATATGGCTCTTTACAGATATGTCCACCAAATATAGACTTAATTTCACATGTAGCATCTAGTATATTGAGGGAATTTAAATAACTTCTTATCCTATCACTTTTTGTAGTCATTTTTTAGTCTTACTATGAATGTCAAGTTGTATTACTTCTTATAAGCTAGTTATTCTAAAATTCAAGGCCTGGTGCAGTGACTCGTACCTGTAATCCCAGCACTTTGGGAGGCCAAGGCCAGAGGATTGCTTTAGCTCAGGAGTTTGAGACCAGCCTGGGCAGCATAGCAAGACCATGTCTCTACAAAAAAACAAGAATTGGCCAAGCGTGGCAGTGGCATAGTCTCAGCTACATGGGAGGCTGAAGCCCAGAAGGTCAAGGCAGCAGTGGAGCCATGCCACTGCACTCCAGCCTGGGTGACAGAGGGAGACTCCAACTCAGAAAAAAAAAAAAATCAAATACTGTCTCTTTATGTATCCATCAAATTTTTTTTTTTTTTTTGAGTTGGAGTCTCACTCCGTCACTCAGACTGGAGTGCAGTAGCACGCTCACGGCCTCCCCAGTGTTGACCTGCTGGGCTCAGGCGACCCTTCCACCTCAGCCTTCCAAGTAGCCGGAACTACAGGCGCGTGCTACCACACTTGGCTTATTTTTTGATTTATTGTAGAGATGAGGTCTCGCCAAGTTGCCCAGGCTGTTCTCAACCCCATGGACTCAGGCAGTCCGCTCACCTCAGCCTCCCAAAGTGCTGGGATTACAGACTTGAGCCACTGGGCCCAGCCATCATTTTATCTACATGCTGATTTATTTAAATTAGTGGGATCTTCTGAATAAAATTATATTATGCATAAGAGTAATTAAGCATAATCATAATGGGAAATCTCATTCTGTTTGACTTTTTATAAACAAAATTATGTTTTGGTTTTAGCTTTTTTAGTGAAGTATGCATGAACTATATAAATCATAATTGCATTGTGATTTATCACAAATTGAATGCCCCTGTAACCACTACACTACACAATGTTCAAGAAATAGAACATTGACCAATATTCCAAAAGCCCCTCTATGCCTGTTGCCAATCTGTTAACTGTCTCTTCTCCAAAAGGTAACCACTATCCTGACTTCTAACATTATTGATTAATTTTACTTGTTGAATTTTATATAAATGAACTCAGAGAATCTGTGTTCTTTTGTGTCTAGCTTTTGTTACTCAATATTATATTTCTTAGATTCCACCTATTATGTGACTATTTCATTTTTGTTGCTATGTAATATTCCATTATATAAATATACCACAATATTCTATTCTACCATTGGACATTTGGGTTGTTTGCAGTTTGGATAATTATAAGTAATTCTGCTGTTCACAAATGTGCACATTTTGTCATTTTATTCCTAGAAGTGAAGGTGGGTCATGTGGTATACTTATGTTCACTTTTAGTAGATTATGCTTTCCACATTGGTTGTAACCAGTTACACCCCGACTCGTAGTGATGAGATTTCCTATTATACATAGCCTCATGACAGCATGGCATCACTAATCTTTATAGTTGTAGCTCTTCTCAGGTATAGTGATCTGTCAGTGAGATTTTAATTTACCTTTTCTATATGACAAATAATATTAACTGCTTCATGTTCAATGACCATATGGATGTGATCCTATAAAGGGCCTGTTCCCATCTGTCTCTTACCTGTTTTTCATTTGGTTTATTGTTTTCTTAATGATTTGTAGGAGTTGTTTATATATACCAGATAAGGCCTTTATTTAATAAATTTTTTTTTTAATTTTACATAGGTGGAATGAATGGCTGAATTATGATATATACATTCCTGATCTTCCTCGTGCCGCTCGGCTTTGCCTTTCCATTTGCTCTGTTAAAGGCCGAAAGGGTGCTAAAGAGGTAAAGTATTTCAGGAAGAACAATTACGCCTACCTCTACCCTGCGATTGAATTATTTCACAAAATGGACATTTTTGCCTATTTAAGAAAATATTAATAAACCTGTTTCTAAATTTTTAATAAATATGTCATGGAAGAATACTTTGCAAGCGCTTCAGGAGTTTAGTTAGGATGAGTCAGTATGTTTTGAGTTAATATTGATGCAGTTTTAATGACTATATGCAAATATCTGTCATATTTGTTGTGATTCATATTTCCTTATAATTAAAGAAAATACATGTAATTTATCATGGGAAAAAGGAAGGAAAGTGCTTAAACTTTGAAAAATCAGTGTGACTCTTTGTAGATATTATATTCCTATTATTATAGAGACAATTGTTGAATTCTCCTTCTCAGGGAAGAAAAGTGTTTTATAATTTAAAATATTTAAATTTAAATTTTTACCACCTGGCATGGTGGCTGTGATCACATTCTGTGATCCCAGCACATTGGGAGGCCAAAGCAAGAGGACTTGACTGCTTGAGCCCAGGGCTTCAAGACCAGCCTAAGCAACTTGGTGAGACCTAGTCTCTACAATAAACCAAAAAATTAGCCAGTCATGGTGGCACACACCTGTAGTCCTGGCTACTTGAAAGGCTGAGGCAGAAGAATTACCTGAGTTCAGCAGGCTGAGACTGCGGTAGCCATGAGTGTGTGTGCCAGTGTGTGTGCCACGGCACTCCAGCCAGGGTGACAGAGGACTCTAACTTAAAAAAAAAAAAAGTAAATGTCTTTTATAATTTAATCCATAGACTAGTGAATTTTTTTGTTTGTTTTTTAAGGAACACTGTCCATTGGCATGGGGAAATATAAACTTGTTTGATTACACTGACACTCTAGTATCTGGGAAAATGGCTTTGAATCTCTGGCCAGTACCTCATGGATTAGAAGATCTGCTGAACCCTATTGGTGTTACTGGATCAAATCCAAATAAAGTAAGGTTTTTATTACCAGAAATTAAATATTTTTAAATAACAGCCAAGCACAATATATATCATAATGTTTCTTCCATTTCTTAGGAAACTCCATGCTTAGAGTTGGAGTTTGACTGGTTCAGCAGTGTGGTTAAGTTTCCAGACATGTCAGTGATTGAAGAGCATGCCAATTGGTCTGTATCCCGTGAAGCAGGATTTAGTTATTCCCATGCAGGACTGGTAAGACAAATCACTGAGTTTGCTAAGTGTCTCTCATAACCTGTGGATTTGAGTAATACTCTGTATGGAAAAAGTTTCATGTATTTTAGTTATACTGGCATAGACACTATGAGCTCCAGGACCAGGGCCAGTATTGCAGCAGAATAAAATTCTCTGTATGCTAATATTTTCACTGCAGTCCTGCTTTTTCAGAGCCCTAGCCTGCCTTCGTTCATTTAACAAATATTTATTAAATGCTGACTATATGTAAAGCACCGGGGTAGGATCTAGGTAATTAAGTCTTGAAGTAAACAGACCTCCACTGAGCATACAGTTTAGTGGTGAAAACATTCAATAAATAAGAACAGAAATATAAGATTGCAGTTGTCCCTTGAACACCGTAAGTTTTAACTACTCAAGTTCACTTACACGTGAATTTTTTTTTCAGTAGACATACTGGAAATTTTTTTGGAAATTTATAACAATTGAAAAAAATCACAAACTGCATAGCATAGGTATACTGAAGAAAGTTTAAAGTTAGGTATGTCATGAATGCATAAAATATATGTAGAAACTATTTTGTTTTTTTTGTTTTTTTAGAAAGCAGGATTTATTAAGAGGACAGAAAAGCACCCACAGTAGGAGGGGACCCGAAGGGGTTGCCCTATACTATTCTGTTTTATTGTTTACTCCATAAAATGCACAGGGTTATATTCTTTTTAGTTTCCTAGTATTTGGTATACAGTGTTATAATGAGAGAGTTTCTTTCCCCTTACTTAATTTTATGTTTTAAATTTGAAAGTTTTGCAGCAATTATATGAATATGTTAAGGCAAGGAACATGAAAGAGTTTACATTTTTATTGTACTGTTTTATTGTTTCTTATGCCAGGAACAACAGCAGATAAGTTAATTGGTTACCAGGAAGGGACCTCATTGGGAAGATAATTAGGTTGTTTACTACTATCCCTCATATCCCAATCTAGTATTCTCTGTAACTCTGGCAGTTACTGTTTTAACTGTGGTTGGTAGTAATATTAACCAAGTAAATTATTGAATTTTTTCCACAAATACTATGTTTTAAGTTGGTCTTTCCCTCTCCCCGAAAATGAAGTCTTGTAAAAAGGATAAATTATTTTGCAGTAGTTAATAAGCAATGTAAGGTTTATTGAAAATTGTTTTACCTTTTTTTGTAGATCACTCATAAATCTGGGGGCTTGGGGAGGAATATGGTAAAGGAAACCACATTAAGTATTACTTTATTTTACAGAGTAACAGACTAGCCAGAGACAATGAATTAAGAGAAAATGACAAAGAACAGCTCCGAGCAATTTGTACACGAGACCCTCTATCTGAAATCACTGAGCAAGAGAAAGACTTTCTATGGAGCCATAGGTGCGTGTTAAGATGAAGAGTCTCTGGGTTTTTTTCTTTATTATAGAAAAAAGAACTGAGTTTGGCTAATTTTGGCTATATCTTTACCATACCTGGTAGAATAAATTAAGCACAAGTTACATGATTTTTAAATTTTAAATACTGCCTTTTGTAAAACTGTGGATATAGATAAATGTTTCTAGAATTTTTATGCTGCATTGGTACTTTGCATGTTGAAGCCTTTTTTTAATTCTAAATTATTGATAGAACTTTTTGTGAGGATTTTTAAAAATAAAATTCAAGATTTAAAGAACCCTGTAGTTTTTAGGTCAACTTAGTTGTAATTTAGTTGTTCTAGATACTATAATTTTTAGGATTTCTCTTCCGTTTTTCTTTTTTCTTATACTTCCTTAAAGTAATAGTGTAATGCCTTGTTTTTACTTAAGGAGAAATTATCCCACTGTTGATAAGTGACACTGGTATTTTTAAATCAAGGGGTTGCACTGCATTTCTGCAGAAAGTTCATTAAAACATAAAGTCTGTCTAGTGACCACAGTATACGTGGTGATTCTAATTCATGTTGCATAAGTAGATGAAAAACATGAACTGTATAAAGAGTGACATAACATAGATCCATAATTTTTCTTATCTGACAACTAAATTTAAATACTTATCCTCCATTTGGATTTGCCTTTCATCTTTGTCATTGTAACTGTGAAACTATGTGTATACATAAAATACAACTATGTGTGAAACACTGATCTCTTTTGATTTTAAAAAAGGCTAGTAATGGTAAGAAGCTTGGAACTTCTTAAAAATTTCACAATTGAAAAGTTAGACATCTAAACCTTTTGAATATCATGCAAGAGTGTTTTTTTATTTTATTTTGTCTTTCTCGCACAGACACTATTGTGTGACTATCCCCGAGATTCTGCCTAAATTGCTACTGTCCGTTAAATGGAATTCTAGAGATGAAGTAGCCCAGGTAAATGCATATTTGAGATTTCTAAATAACTGTTGCACACAATTGGTATGCCACTCAGATTGTTTTTTCTCAAAAAGTGTCCATAAATATAAGAGATAAAAAATAGGCTATGTCTTAAATACATTAATTAATGGCAGTATAGTAGGAAAAATAGCATTCATATAATTTCCATAAGTAAAGCTAATCAGAACTGAAACGGGATCTTAATCTAGACTAATTTTAAAACCGGAAGTCAAGACAGTGTTTTAGAGAGCTTGTTCACAACTCTCTGCTTGTTAAATCTGATGTATTGTCTCTTTCCTACCCAGATGTACTGCTTGGTTAAAGACTGGCCTCCAATCAAACCTGAGCAGGCCATGGAGCTTCTGGACTGTAATTACCCAGATCCTATGGTTCGAAGTTTTGCTGTTCGGTGCTTGGAAAAATATTTAACAGATGACAAACTTTCTCAGTACCTAATTCAGCTAGTACAGGTAAAATATTATAAATAGTAAATAATGTTTAATCGGAGTAATGATTTATTCCAGATTCATGCAGCTTGCAAAATCTGTTGCATTTACTAGTTTTATGTTGTTTTTTTAATCAGCATTATTACCAGTAGTATCTACTTTCTTTCTGATAAATTTTCTTTAGATCCAGCCATGCATAAACTGATCCTGATTTTATTTGATTTTCTTTTCATTGTTTTTTTAATCACCTAGGTCTTAAAATATGAACAGTATTTGGATAACCTGCTTGTGAGATTTTTACTCAAGAAAGCATTGACTAATCAAAGGATTGGGCACTTTTTCTTTTGGCATTTAAAGTAAGTCAAATTATCTTACCATTAAAATCCTTAGCTGTTTATTACTTGCTTTCTTAATTGATGTGTAAATATGTATTACTTGTGTACTTCTATTTTTGTTTGGCTGGAAGAATTTTTCAGGTAGTAGTTTCATCCTACCTGAAACTCTTGATTGTTTTGCTTCTAAATGGTAGATTTTGGATAATGTTACTGTTCACATGATTGTAACATTTATTAGATTGAGACAATTTTTTAAAAATTTTTCTTAACAAAGAAATTATTTAATTTCTCTTTGAAATTAAATAAGCAGTAAAATTTAAAACTGAATTTTATACATGAATGAGAGCTGAAATGTTTTCAAAGATTTTGATTATACTTGAAGTATAGTAAAATTTGCTAGGTCCAGATGAATATTGCTGTAGGTTTCAAGGTATGTCTGGATTAAAATATCCCAAAATAAAGGAAAAAACATCTTACCTTGAAATTCAGAACAAAATCCCATGTTTCTTATTAGAAAAAAAAGACTAAGAATAAAAAATAGCTGTGTGTGGTGGCTCACACCTTTAATCCTAGCACTTCAGGAGGTTAAGGTGAAAGGATCACTTGAGGACAGCAATTCCAGACCAGCCTGGGCAACAAAGCGAAAAAATAGAAAAATTAACCAAGCATGATGGCACATGCCTGTAGTCCCAGCTCAGAAGGCTGAAACAGGAGGATCACTTGAGCCCAGGAGTTGGAGGCTGAGGTGAGCCATGATTGTGTCACTGCACTCCAGCCTGAGTGGCAGAATAAGACCCTGTGTCAAAAAAGAAAAAAGAAAAAAATATATTTTGCAGAATGTGATATATCTAGTGCTCACAGTTAGAGGTCATAAGCCATATTTTTTAATAAATTTAGAAACAGATTTGTGTCTAATATGCTTTTTTTAATGCTGAAATTAAAAATGGATCCAAGAAGTCAGATTGAAATGGAAAGTATAGACATGTGCATCAGAAGAGTCAAATAGTGCTTACTGAGCTCCTTGCTCCCGCCTTATTCATTTTACTATTTTTGTGCACCATTTCCTTTTTCCATGGTTTCATATCTTGTGCTGAGATCAGTGAATGAAAAGTTTTAAAAATAAACTATAAACTAGTTTTTTATTAAATTTGTATATTCAGAAACTACCTGAAACTCTTGATTGTTTTGCTTCTAAATGGTAGATTTTTGATAATGTTACTGTTTGCATGATTGTAACATTTATTAGATTGAGACAATTTTTAAAAATTTTTTCTTAACAAAGATGATTTGTATATTCATTTTAATACTGTGTGTGTGTTTTTAATCTTGCGCTGTTCTTTTAGGTCTGAGATGCACAATAAAACAGTTAGCCAGAGGTTTGGCCTGCTTTTGGAGTCCTATTGTCGTGCCTGTGGGATGTATTTGAAGCACCTGAATAGGCAAGTTGAGGCAATGGAAAAACTCATTAACTTAACTGACATTCTGAAGCAGGAGAAGAAGGATGAAACACAAAAGGTGTGTGACTCTTTGAGACTCTTTTCATTCCAGGGCCCAGGGCTGATTAGAAGCCCAGTGTATATGCAGATCGTGGTCCTTGGAATCAAACTGATTGGAATTTGGATCCAAGTTCCACTGCCTCTCTGCTGTGTAGTGTTAGACACATTACTTAGACTCATTTTTTCTTATCTGTAAAATGGGAACGATATTTTCTTCATAGGGTCATTGTGAGAAGATTTACATGAGATGTGCATACATAGTCCCTAGAACAAAGGTGCCTAATAAATGTTTCCTCTATTTTCCTTTCCTTTCTCTTTTATATAGCCCTAAGTATTTAAAATTATTCTTTTTTTATTGTGATTGTCTCTTAGTAATGACCTAAAAATTAATGGAAAGAAATTAGTTTTTACACTTATAAATTTAAAATGGAGATGAGGCACAGTAGCTCACGTCTGTAATCCCAGCATTTTGAGAGGAAGAGACAGGAGGATCACTTGAGCCTAGGAGCCTAGGAGTTCAAGACCAGCCTGGGCAACATAGCAAGACCTCATCTGTACAAAAAATAAAAATAAAAGGATGAGCCATGTGTGGTGGTACATGCCTGTAGTCCCAGCTACTTGGGAGGCTGATGCAGGAGGATTGCTTGACCCCAGGAGTTGGAGGCTGCAGTGAGTCATGATCATGCCACTCCACCCCAGCCTGGGCAACAGAACGAGACCCTGACTCGGATAGATGGATGGATGGACGGACGGACAGATGGACAGATGGATGGATGGATGGATAGAGACCCTGACTTTAGATAGATAGATAGATAGAAAGAAAGAAAGGATGGACTCCAAGTCATGCAGTAAATATCATATACTCTAGGCATCTGCAGTCAAGGTTGGTGTAACTAAAGAAGATGAAATACAATATAGCCAAGCATGGTGGTGGCTCACACCTTTAATCCCAGCATTTTGGGAGGCCATGGTGGGAGGATCACTTGAGTCCAGAAGCTCAAGATCAGCCTATGTAACATAGCTAGACCTTGTTTCTACAAAAAAAAAAAAAAAAGTAACCAGGTGTGGTGGTGCATACCTCTAGTCCCAGCTACAGACTGAGATGGAAAGATCACCTGTGTCCAGGAGGTCAGGGCTCCAGTGAGCCATGATATATGCCACTGCACTCTAGGCTGGTGACAGAGTGAGCCCAGACTTCAAATAAAAAGAAAACAAAATACAATGTAAACATTTTTCATGACCTTTTCCTAATCCCTATCATTTATTCAATCCATTACATCCTAAATTCACCATATTTTACAGTAAAAAGTCAGATTATCCTTCACCTCTACTGAAATGAAAATTTTTTAAAATCCCAGTTTAGTACTGAGTCCTCAAAGGACAGAGAATGTAAATTAGCAGTCTGAGTGAATTTTCCCAATAGCTTTATTAATATGACTTGAAAAAAATGTTAAGAGAAAGTTACTGTGTTAATCGAAATGTCACATAGTGTATAACTGAGTTGATTTTATCGAAGTTGTGGTATATAAATTCAAATATAGGATATAGGAAATAACTGTACTCTTTCTGATACTGGAATTTATGGGCAAGAGGGGAATGAACTGCCTTGAAAGAACATATTTATTATATTTATATATAACGGAGCTAAGGAAAAAGAAACTAGATATTAGATACTCTGTAAATACAAATGTTTCTCCATTTATGTTAGGGTTATGTCCTGATAAACACACTAAAAATTGAAAATATCCTAATTTAAAAATGGATATTTTGTAGACATGATGAGATATGAAAACACAATATTAAAAAAACACTGAACGTAATACACTGTAGAGTATGGTTGTTTACCCTTGTAGTCGTGTGGCTGCCCAGTAGCTGTGGCTCACTACTGCTGCCCAGGATTGCAAGAGAATATTATGTTGCATAGCCATAGCCTGGGAAAAGATCAAAATTTGAAGTATGGTCTCTACATTCAGTAGAAACCATTGCTATATTCAGTGTATCACTTTCACACCATCAAAAAGTTGAAAAATCACAGATCAAACCATTGTAAGTCGGGGAGTGCCTGTCTAGGCATTCTTCTAAGTTGGAGTTTTGGCATCACAAATTGGCTGTGATACAGTGGATTAATTTGGAACATGAAATTTATTACTCAACATCTTATTGGCTTAGAAGAGATTTTGAGAGGGAACTAAAATCGTATTCATAGAAACAAAAGCAGTTACTGTGAGTGGTTTTGTGTTTTATCATACCAATGAGTAACAACATATATGAAGCACTGTGCTTAACATTAGAGTTGTCCGTGATAGAAAAAAAAAACCCTTTACGTGAGAAAAGGTTACCTAGTCAGTGATGACTAGATTGTCTAGCTATTCACTTACATATAGCAAGAAGACTAAAAATGTGTTACTAAGATTCCAGCATGAATTTAATTTTTTTATGAATTCCTAGCACCAAACCTCTTTTTCCCCCACTCAGATTTTGTATTTTCAATAGATAGAGGTTTCCTAAAATAAAATGCTAGATAGATAGTGCATAATAGCTCAGCAATCTAGGCTGTGGTTTGAATTGATTAAAAAGAGATATTTCTTTGTAGCTACATACTAGAACCTGAATATAGTATGAGATGACATGTAACAAATGTTTTTACAAGTCCTTCCCCCAGCAGTTTCTTTTAGCCTCACTAAACCTTTTTTAACCAGCAGAGAGAGTGTGAATATGGTGTTTTCTGAAAAGCCTAAAATTCAGGTTAAGCTAAGCGAACAGGTTCTCCTTAGTTTTTCCTCTAGAACACAGATCTGCACTTTTTTTTCTTAAAGGGCCAGATAGTAAATGTTTTAGATTTTGCAAGCTATGTGGTCTCTGTCTTAACTACTCAACTCTGCTGTTCCAGTGTGAAAGCAGTCAATATGTAATGAATGGGTGTAGCTATATTCTGAGACAACTTGATTTAACTGAGTGTTGCTGCTCTGTACTGTAAAAACCCTTCTCATTAGAACACAGCCAGTCTAAGATATGGATTTACAGACTACACAGCATGGAGGTTCCAGTATGTAAAGCAGATGATCAGTCAGTTTTACCTTTTATGAAATCAGTTTTCTGCCACTGTTATGCTTTTTAAAATCAGGTACAGATGAAGTTTTTAGTTGAGCAGATGAGGCGGCCAGATTTCATGGATGCTCTGCAAGGCTTTCTGTCTCCTCTCAACCCTGCTCATCAACTGGGAAATCTCAGGTAAGTACTTTCTTGGGAGTTCTACTGAAATATTTAAATAAGTACTTTTTCTGGGTACAATCTGGAGAAAAGTAGAAATGTCCGTTATAATTGGGATGTCCAATTAAATGTATTTCTCTGTCCCATTCTCCTATCCTCAAAATACAAGTAGTAAATTGTCTTAATTTCAGAACTGCATTTATCCAGAATGAGTTTTTACTACTTTAATAATAGTTTAAAACCTTCTGTGCCCAGAATTTCTGGTATCAGAGGATAAGAAATGGAATGTTATATCTGTAAATCTAATGATATGTCTTTATATTTGTTGAAAACTTATTTGCAATTAATTATATAATAATTTTTAAAGATTAATATTTATTTTTCCTTTATACTTCTTAGAAATGAATTCCTAAATAAAAATTGAGGAGGAAGTCTCAAATCTTTATAACACTTCAAAATACTTCAGAAAGCTATACTTGTATCAAATCTATTTTGAAATAAATTTGAGGGTAAAAGAACAACAGGCATAGGTGCCTAGTAAAGTTTATAACTGTTTTAAAGGCTTGAAGAGTGTCGAATTATGTCCTCTGCAAAAAGGCCACTGTGGTTGAATTGGGAGAACCCAGACATCATGTCAGAGTTACTCTTTCAGAACAATGAGATCATCTTTAAAAATGGAGATGGTAAGGAAGAGTATGAATGAGCTTATGGTGCATGCATTTAGCTATCTTTTTATACACAGGATATTTATGAACCATGAAGACTACCTAAAGCCATTTAAGGAATATGTGCATGTGATAAAATATATACTCTTAAGCAGATGTCATAACCTTTGCAATGTGAATATACTGTATAATCATCAAAAGAAAAGAAATAGTAGGTTTAGAATCAGAAGTCCTGAGGTCAAGTGGCTTTTGTTTGTTTGTTTGTTTTCTATTTTCCCTCCACTCCCACACTGGTGGACCTGTATAAAGATTTTTTGTTTTGTTTTGTTTTAAATTAGCTTCTACCTATCATTTGCTTAGCTGTGTGAGTATCCATTCATCCCACAGATATTCTATGTTCTAGGCCCTGAGATTTTAGCAATAATCAAAACAAAATGCCTGCTTTCTTGGAGTTTACAGTCTAACGGGGAAAAGAGGATCTTTAAACAAATAATTATAAAAATAAAATTACAACCATGATGCAAAACAAAAGTGTAGTTTACTAAGGAGTCATATAAAGAAGGTCTTTATTTATTTAGAGAGGCTATGGGGCAGAAGGGGAGAATCATGAGTGGATTTCCAATAGGAAATGACATTTCAGCAGTGAATTCTGTATTCTGTTGATCTTAGTATTCTAATATATGTTCACATTTAAAGAGGCAGAAAAATAAATACCCTGAATGTTTTAAGATTTTAGTGAAATGCGTGCTCACTTATCCTACATTGTTATACAGATATGTTTATGCAGATACTTTAGAAGTGGGTTTAAAAAAATCAGGATATTAAGAGCTGGGTGCAGTGCCACACGCCAGTGATACTTGAGAGGCTGGGGCAGGAGGATTGCTTTCTTATATCCTTTGAAGAGTAAATATAGGGTTTTTTTGTTTGTTTTCCATTTGAAAAAATGTGCTGGCATTATCCCTAAATTTACATTTGTAGCAGTAAGTTGTAACACGTATTATTTAAATTACAGATTTACGGCAAGATATGCTAACACTTCAGATTATTCGCATTATGGAAAATATCTGGCAAAATCAAGGTCTTGATCTTCGGTAGGTAACCAATAAGGCAACATGTGTGTTGAAAGTTATTCTAAAAAAGTAAACTTTTAGTAAATATTAATTATAGATGCCTATGGAGGCATACATCTATAAGGAAGTGTATGCAGTAATAATTAACAATAGTCGATAACATTACGGTACTTTCATCTGTCCTCTTACTGGACTTAGCAGTGAGGTACAGTTAAGTAAGAAAACCATCTCTAATGAGCAGCTGTCTCTGGATTGTCACCATTAGGAAGAGGAAATAGGAGACTCCAGAAGTCCCTGTTTCCTTCAGAAATTAAGAGTGTACAAGAAAGCTTCATTATAGAAATTTTCTAATTCCAAAGCTTTATAAATCCTGTAATCATGGCATCAGTTTGGCAGCGAATTTATAAAACTAACTAACAAAGTTTTTACCAGTCTGTTCAAGTTTTCTGTCATACTTCATGTCATTTTTGCTTCCAAATAGTCTTCCCTTCTCTGACCTGTCTCTTTGCAAATCCATATCATTCAGGCAAAAGCCACCCTCTCTTAAAGTGCTTTAGTCTATAAGTGGGCATGAGAAGATTAGGAAGAAATGGCGAGTAATACCAGATGAGGGCTTATTTGTATGCCTCTTATGGATTAAGAGTAGCTAATATATAAAAATATATCATGGACAAATAGTAGTCCCCATTTATTGCTGAGAAGAAAATTAACATTTCAGGGGGAGGAGGGATGAAAAATCACTTTTTGGGTATAATATACACAGGTGGGGGTGGTGGGTATCCTTAAAACCCAGACCAAAAACTTGTTGTACCCCCTAAAGCTATTGAAGTAAAGAAGAAGAAAAAAAGAAATGAACATTTGAAATAATCTGCTAAAGCACAAAATTAACCCATCAACCTCAGATTCTTAACTCCCTATACATTGCTTAATCACTGCTGCATTGCAAAGACAGTTAATGTTTTGTGAATCACATTTTCTTTTTTGACATGACTTCCTGTGTCAGGAGAGGTCCACATGCTACTACCACCACTTCTCCCAGAAGAGTAGACTGTACAAAAGATTATAGAGCTGGAAAGAGTAAAGGATTTAACTATATAGCCCTAGTAATTATATTGTTTAATTGTAAGTTAGTGACTGCCAAAAAGCATCTACAAGTTAAACAAGATCACTAGAAATATTAAGCGTTTTTCAGTCTCAAGATATTTTCGGAATATTTTTAACAAGTAAATTTAAGGAAAAAATTTTATTTGAAGTTTATTTGTTTGTTTGTTTGTTTGTTTGTTTGTTTTGAGTTGGAATCTCACTCCGTCCCCCAGACTGGAGTGCAGTGGCCGCTCCCGGCCACCGCAGCCTCGACCTGCTGGGCTCCGGCGATCCTTCCGCCTCAGCCTTCCAAGTAGCTGGAACTACAGGCGCGCGCTACCATGCCCAGCTAATTTTTTATTTATTGTAGAGATGAGGTCTCACCAAGTTGCCCGGGTGGGTCTCGAACCCTCAGGCTCAGGCAATCCACTCACCTCGGCCTCCCAAAGCGCTGGGATTACAGGCTGAGCTACCGAGCCCAGCCTTGAAGTTTAAATAAAAATTACTTAAGTAAAATCGTAGCAACATTTTTATTTATACTTGACAAAACTATAATTCAGACTCAAGTTCATTATAACTTAGCATTTTTTTTACATAACAAGACTTAGGACTATGAGCACGTTCAACAGTAATAAAATTAAAACGAAATAACATAGGATGAGCAGGAGCACAACCTTAAGAAACGTCTGTGTCTACCAGGGCAGGTAGAAGAAAATATTCTGTAAGAGAAATGGTCAGAAGGGGTAGAAGTACTAGAGAAGTGATTCACAAAACCCAAAAGAGGGGAGTGATGCACGATTTCTAGTGCCAAGTGCTTCAAGGGGTTTTAGAGAATAATTGCCATGAGAAAGCCCTTGGATTCGCTGACCTACTAGCTTTAAGAAGAGTTAGCTCACTACAGTGATAGGTATGAAGCCAGACTGCTAGGAATAAAGTAAGATAATGAAAATAAGTGTAGACTATTTTAGGAACTTGATCAAGGGAAAGGTAGAAAGAATGAACAGTACCTCATGAGAACAGAGCAAGAAAAACCGTACCTTAAGCATGTATGTGCCAATTTGGATGTTAGGTACTTTTTTTAATGCTTTCTTTAAATTCTTATATCTGCATCCTCGACTGCATGTCCTATTCAATATTCTATGTGATGAAATGGAAAATACCGTAAAAGCACTTGTGCCACATCCCAAAGTATGATGGTTGTATGAAAGAGAAGCATCTGGGGGATTATTTGAGTTGTGAGCTGAACTAACTGCTTTTTTCTTGGAATACCATTTTTACTTTAAAAAGAACTAATAGACAACCTCTGGTTTTCAGACATGTATATTTGGCAGACATGTTCTTGAAAATGAACAATATGTGCCTGTCTCTTCAAAGAAAACAACTGCAACAATGTTTGTTGGGAATGGTAAAATGTGAGCATTCAAGCAAAAATTAGAATTTCGAAAAACTTGTTTCTGCCACTGAACATAGCAGTGTCTTATAAAATTGTTATTCAAATGAAAAATTATGATTTTTTTAATATAGTATAATGAAAAGTATCAACATTCGGAAGATCACAGATGACCACTACAGGATACTATATTCTTCACTTAAAACATTGCATTGGATTGCACACAGAAGCACATATGAGAATCCTGTTAGGTACTATCAAGCCAAACATTGAAAAAAAAAATGTTTAATGTGTCCAGGCATGTTGACTCATGCCTGTAATCCCAGGACTCTGGGGGGCCTAGGCGAGAGGATTGCCTGATCCCAGGGGTTTGCAACCAGCCTGAGCAACATGGTGAGACCTCTACAATAAATTAAAAAATTAGTCAGGCATGGTGGTACATGCGTGTAGTTCCAGCTACTTGGAAGACTGAGGCAGAAGGATCACCAGCAGGTCAAGACTGTAGTGGCCATGAGCCTGCCACTGCACTCCAGCCTGGGTTAACAGAGTGAGACTCCATCTCAGAAAAAAATTGTTTAGTGTAGGAAGAATGTTACTCTTCTCACTAGACTATTTTTAAGTAATAGTTGTTTCGTTTCATAAAATGTTATTTATAATAAAATGTCATAGCTTATTTTTAAATGAATTACTATACTATAAAGTTTTTTTTCCCAATATCGGTAGATATAATTCACCTACATAAAAAAAAACTCATTGGGGTGCTCAGTAATTTTTACAAGTATTAATGAGTCCTTTGGGAACTGCCTGCAGTTTTGTTTAGATGTCAATTAAACGTCTTTAAATTCACCCATATGTTTAAAGTCATAAATGCTTACAAAATTGTAATTGTCACAATAACTTTTTAAATAATGCTTTTCTGGCACATAATTTAAGTGCCTTATCATTGGAAGGTTTAATAAGTGATGACAAATAATTTTGAGGATTTTTCTAGAAATACATTTGTCACACTATTAAGAAATTTTAAATTGGCTTAAAGCAGTAAAGATCATGCATGTCAGATTTGCACATAAAACATGTTTTAGCCTATTAAAATAGTTGCTATTTTTAAATTCCATTATTTAATTGTAAACGTTGCTCCTTTTTCAGAATGTTACCTTATGGTTGTCTATCAATCGGTGACTGTGTGGGACTCATTGAGGTGGTGAGAAATTCTCACACTATTATGCAAATTCAGTGCAAAGGCGGCCTGAAAGGTGCACTGCAGTTCAACAGCCACACACTGCATCAGTGGCTCAAAGACAAGAACAAAGGAGAAATGTGAGTTTTATTGTTCTTTCTTCCTGTGTTTTTTCTTTTAGATGAGTGTTGTCAGTTTTTGTTAGGTGAGTTTGTTAGTTGGTGTGTATTCCCTGAATTAAGACCAGAGAAGCAATTTCGGTTTCTTTCGCCCATACTAGCTCTGGCATGTATCTCTCTTTCCGTCCTTTTTTCATTCTCTAATAAATTTGGTTAAAGCATTTTTTTTTAATTGCACACTCAAAATTTTATGTCAAAATTATTGGAAAAAAACTGATTTTAATGACATGATAAATATTCTTTCACTACGATAAGAATTATGCTTTGCTCAGGGAACATCAAGAAATTTCCTTAGAAACTGTCAAAAACTTCAGAATCTCAAAATTCTTCAGATCTTTGGACATAATTACTTTCTTCCCTAATGTCATTGTTTTCATTGTTTAAATAGAAATTACCACTGTCTTTTCTCAAGTTGTGCATTAACACTGCTCATAAGGTGTTTATATCTTCTTTATAGATATGATGCAGCCATTGACCTGTTTACACGTTCGTGTGCTGGATATTGTGTAGCTACCTTCATTTTGGGAATTGGAGATCGACACAATAGTAACATCATGGTGAAAGATGATGGACAAGTAATGGTTTTCTCTTTAAAATGTTTTGGTGTTCTTTAAATATATTAATTCAAATGTTGTATGTCCTCACGTGTCAAACTATAACATAGTTTCTTATTTTTGAAAGCTGTTTCATATAGATTTTGGACACTTTTTGGATCACAAGAAGAAAAAATTTGGGTATAAACGAGAACGTGTGCCATTTGTTTTGACACAAGATTTCTTAATAGTGATTAGTAAAGGAGCCCAAGAATGCACAAAGACAAGAGAATTTGAGAGGTAAGCTCAAGAAATCAAAAGCACAAAATAAAGAGTACTTGCTGCTCTATTAGAAATAATTGATATTTTTCCAAACACTTTTAAAATAATAGATGTTATATTATACCACATCAGCCAAAACTATTTATATTTATTTATGTGATGCTGTCAAGGAAAATGAAAAGGAAAACCATTTAATTTCTTGAGCTGTTTAAGGCCTAAAAAGAAAGTAACTCTTAAACCTTGTAATAAACAGTAAATGTTTTTATTTACTGCTTTTTAAATAGTTGGACTCCACCTTCTCTATATTGACAAAGAATGTTTAGTGCTTAAATACAACATTTTTTAGTCATACAATTTGAGGAGAAAGTCTGTCAGCTGTAATCACCTTGTTTATTCTTTTTTTTTTTTTTTACCACCTTGTGGTATATCATTAGTGTATCTTAAGCCTTCGAGTATTTTTTTAAAACCTTTAATGAAAGTATTCTTTTTCTGTAACTCAGTCCTGACCTAGCCTAAGCCCTAAAGCATTTATTATGGACCAACTTACACATTTAATAAGTGGTTATTAAACTCCTGAGGTGTGCCAGGCATTGTTCTAAAGCAGTAAATAATAATAATAATAATAAAATAAATAAATATAGCCCATATCGTCACGGAGTTTACGTTCTAGAGAGGTAAGGGGAAACAGGGAATAAAGAGGTGTCGGCAAGAGGAGCCGAGAGGAATGCTGTTTTTCATAGCTTTGTCTAAGAAAGCCTCTCTAGTTAGGTGACATTTGAGCCATTATCTGAAGGTGTTAATTAACATCATCTGCCCTATACTGACCAAACTGTTCTTATTACTTGTAGGTTTCAGGAGATGTGTTACAAGGCCTATCTAGCTATTCGGCAGCATGCCAATCTCTTCATAAATCTTTTCTCAATGATGCTTGGCTCTGGAATGCCAGAACTACAGTCTTTTGATGACATTGCATACATTCGAAAGACCCTAGCCTTAGATAAAACTGAGCAAGAGGCTTTGGAATATTTCATGAAACAAATGAATGATGCACATCATGGTGGCTGGACAACAAAAATGGATTGGATCTTCCACACAATTAAGCAGCATGCATTGAACTGAAATGCTAACTGAGAAACTGAAAGCTCACTATCTGGATTCTACACTGCACTGTTAAAACTGTCAACAGGCAAAGACTGATTGCATAGGAATTGCACAATCCATGAACAGCATTAGAATTTACAGCAAGAACAGACATAAAATACTATATAATTTAAATAATGTAAACGCAAACAGGGTTTGATAGCACTTAAACTAGTTCATTTCAAAATTAAGCTTTAGAATAATGCGCAATTTCATGTTATGCCTTAAGTCCAAAAAGGTAAACTTTGAAGATTGTTTGTATCTTTTTTTAAAAAACAAAACAAAACAAAAATCCCCAAAATATACAGAAATGATGGAGAAGGAAAAAGAATGATGTTCTTCTTTGTGTTGCAAATGTTCTATGTTTTGAAATGTGGACACAACAAAGGCTGTCATTGCATTAGGTCTGAGTAAACTGGAGTTTATGTTAAATTACATAAGATTGGAAAAGAATGAAAATTTCTTATTTTTCCATTGCTGTTCAATTTATAGTTTGAAGTGGGTTTTTTGACTCCTTGTTTAATGAAGAAAAATGCTTGGGGTGGAAGGGACTCTTGAGATTTCACCAGAGACTTTTTCTTTTTAATAAATCAAACTTTTTGATGATTTGAGGTCTTATCTGCACAGTTTTGAAAGCAGGCACAAATGAGACCTATTAAAAGGTAGTGTTTTGGGGCTCTTTTTTTTCTGGACAGTATTTACAAGGTTCTTATACTTATTTCCCAGGGAAATTCTGGGCTCCCACAAAGTAAAAAAATCATCAGAGAAAAGGAATGAGCAGGAATAGTTCTTATTCCAGAATTGTACAGTATTCACCTGAAGTTGATTTTTTTCCTCCTTTTGCAATTGAACTGAATACATTTTTCATGCATGTTTTCCAGAAAATAGAAGTATTAATGTTATTAAAAAGATTATTTTTTTTATTAAAGGCTATTTATATTATAGAAACTATCATTAATATATATTCTTTATTTACATGATCTGTCCCATAGTCATGCATTGTTTTGCACCCCAAGTTTTTGTTGTTCGTAGCAGCATGGTCAGCTTTTCTCTTGGTCTGTAGTTGAGGCTCAGGCACTGTCCCATTTATACCAATAACCAGTGTAGAACTACGTAAGGAAAACAGATTAAACTTCATTCTCTTTCCTTTCATTTCTTTGTTTTCACATGAATCCCCCATCTTCCATCCTCTCTTATGTTGAGAATGGCTCAATCGTATGAAATTAGTCACCAAAATTAACACAATTTAGACTATCTTCCTGATTGCTTAAACTTCTCTACTGCAGTATGCTCCTGAATAATTCTTTATAATATGGAGGAATAGAAACCATGAATTTTTTCCCTTTTTAAGTTATGTATCTATATCTCAAAAATAAAAATAGGACATTAAACCATTTTAAGGTCATGTCCCATTCCCAAGTAGCCTGGGCTCACTGTCCAACTTTATAAAATACCATTCAAGCACAGGACACATTCTTAAACTTTTCAGAAAATGAACCCAAGATGTAGGTGCCAGTGCTAGCCATCCCGCTAGAATCTGATATTTTGCTCAGTATTTGAAATGAATGATTAATGTTCTAGGAAATTAGCTTTAGCAAATGTCCAGGTGCCACACCAAAAAAAGTGCAATAATTTATTGACAGTTTTCTAGATTAGGCATATTATTGGAAAACAACTTTATAAAGAGTGAATATTGTATACGCAACTAAAACAGCATCACTTTAAAAATATTCTTTTATGAAATCTGTTACCTGTAGTAGAAGTCTTGAGTAGTGAACAAGGGACTCTAATACAAATACTTTTACTATCTGGCTATTTTAGAACCCTTAAAGGGCATAATTATTGAAAATTTAGGTACTTCACTAAAGCATGTATATAATATTGCCAACAAGAAAAATTAATTTGAAGATTAAGGGAATGTATTTCTGTAAGTTTTCTTGGAATATTTAAGCAAACTTTAAACTCTGTTTTAGGCAGGAACCAGATAGATTCTTTTTCATAACTTATTAAAACTTATTAACATTTTATGTTGTTTATATATAGGCAGTTGATACATACTAACATCCCAGTCTTTTTGAAATCAGGGATTGATAGTAGGAAAACTCAGAAAAATGGTACAAGTCTGAAACTTTGATGGTGGAAACTGAAGATTTAACAGAGAACTGTGTTTTACCCTAGTGCCAAAAAGCCTTGAACCTCCTTGCACAAAATATAGTGTTTGCATTTTGTTTCACATCAGTCTAGATAATTATCCCCCTCCTTCTCCCAGAACCTCTCCACCATTAAAACACACAATCCACATAGCTTATTTCATCATTTACATTTATTTCCAAGAATTATTACAACCAAATTAATTATATTTGAAGTGTAGACAAATTCTATAAAGAATATAGATTGTGATCTAAGAAAGAATTGAGGGACAGAGAGGCAAAGAACCAAACATTTAATTGAATGCTGCATGGGTGACTAAAATCTGTTTCAAGTTAGCGATAATATAGCCACTTCCAGGTACCTCAGTATCAGAGATCAGTTCCCACAGTTTGGACAGTTCTGTAACTGACTGTTCTTGTCACTGAATATGGTATAACTGACTGTTGGCGCTACAGTTTCATTGGGTCACTTGAGAAATATTTCCTTCAATAATTATGCTGGAGAAAACAGAAACATCTAAAGAAAATAAAATGTAATTTTAAATACGTTGTAGCAGGAAATAACTTTGAAAATTATGCTTTAACTTTTTTCCATATTGTCAGCTATACGTTTATTTTGAAGATTTTTAGACTGCTGTTAAATTGAAATTTGTTAATTTTACTGTGGAATTTGGGTTTTTTTTTTTTTTAAGAAAAAAAGATGTTTCTAGTTGGATTTTTTTTAAAGAATGGAATTTGGTTGCTCTTTTACAATAGAACCTAAGCTTTTTGTGGTTCTTAGTGTCCTATGTAAAACTTAGTGTCAAAGTAATCAACTTTGAGGTTTTCCCTTCTATTCTGCTTTATATAAAAAGCCCATTAGGAAATGGGAACCTGGTGAATATATAATGAATTGTAAAATATTTTAATGTGTAACTTTTTCAACTGTGAAACTGACTATTGATTTTTTGATGAAAACAGCTGCTGATAAAGTATTTTGTGTAAAGTGTAGTTCTTATTAATCAGGAAAATGATGACTTGATTAGACTGTATATACCCTCTTGGATTTTATTTTAAATGAATTGGTGATTTTCAAATAGGTAAAACACAGTCCACCTGTATTCTTTTTTCCATCAAAAAATTGATTTGGCATTGTAAAAAATTGTGAGTAGCCTATTTTAAAGGCATCATGGAAATTTTATAGCACATAAACTTGGATTTGTTTTTTTCTTAATGATTTTGTAAATCCATGTCATTTGTATTTTGATCAATAGCCCATGCTTGCCAGCTCTTCAAAGAAATTTAATTTCTAGCAGTATTTTCAAGCTAGCCTGTTAACTTTTCCTGAATAGTTTTAGTTCCTCTTGATTCTGTGTCTACACAAACTGTAGACCTGGGCTGGACCCACACCCTCAGAGTCCATCCGAAGAAATTATTTTGATATTCAAGACATCGCTAAAATATTTCAGTTTAAAGATAATATGTGGTGTTAATAGATAATTGTGGTGCTTCTATTTAAAGTCAGCTTTCATACTTCAGATGTTTTTGAGAAGAGGAGAATGTGAAGGCGGGGAGAAGAACAGGGAGGAGTTGCTTGAATGAATTACATTCTTCATCTCCATCCCACTCAGTTGGGGCCTAAGAGGAGGCTGAAAGTGTGAAAGTATATTGTGTATACCATGAGAGAAGTAACTTCATCAAGGATGGGACTGTGAAGGCTGAACTGTAAACTCAGCGCTGACAGCATCCTCAAATAATCATTCTTGGTGACAGAATAATACAGCTGGGCTGTTTTTAAAAATATAAACACAAAATCATTTTTAATTATATTAAAAACTGTAAATATATCTTATGTGCCATGGCCTGGGAAGCCTGTTTTCTTTTTTCTTAAAAATTATTTTTACTCTCTGAAAAGATTATGGGGTTTAGCTCAAGATAACTGTGGTCTTGGCAAGATTGGATTGGCAACTACCTCAAAAGGGAAAAAAATTGATGAACCACAATTCATACTTCAGGCTCTGATATTACAGAATTGGTGCATATCACTGTATGTTAGATTTGTAAAGTCAGAATCGGCATGCCTTGTTTTTAATGGTATAGAAGATATTTAGAAAACAATTGGGGCTAAAATGTAATCATTGCTCTAGCCATTTGGGAAAGGCTGTCGTTCAAGGAGTCTCAAGGTACTAGGTTCTTGAATTTGGCATGTGAAATTGCTTGGCTGGGCTCGGTGGCTCAGCCTGTCATCCCAGCACTTTGGGAGGCCGAGGCGAGTAGATTATCTGAACCCACAGGTTCGAGACCAGCCCTGGCAAGTTGGTGAGACCTCGTCTCTACAATAAATCAAAAAATTAGCTGGGTGTGGTAGAGAGCACCTGTCATTCGGGCCTCTTGGAAGGCAGAGGCAGAAGGATTGCCGGAGCCCTGCGGATCATTGCTGGGGTGGCTGTGAGTGTGCCTCTGCTCTCCAGCCTAGGCGACGGAGTGAGACTCTGACTCAAAAAAAAAAAAAAAAAAGAAAGAAATTGCTTTTGTTCTTTTTTTCTTTGTTATGAGTTCAGTTTCTGTATGTGTGCTTCCACACGCTACTTACACACTGCTTGCTGGCCCTAGTCAAGAGGCGTCTTTAATAAAAGGTATGAACAAGTATCAAGGTTCTCAAATTCAGAAGACTTTAGAATTTACTAGGCATCTCCCGAATTGGGATGTTAGTCTTTAAAGGAACTTCTTTCATTCAAGTATTCCACCTGATTAAGGTTTTGCACCTCCTTTTTATTAGTGTGGCGCCATCCCTTTTGCTTGACTTTTAGGTATGTGAATATTCCAGCCCTGCTGGTTAGCATAGAGTGATGGGTTGAGCCATAAGGAAATTCTGACTTAATTTTTACATAACTACCTATAAGAGTTCTAGTGGAGAAAAAAAAAGATAATGCTAGTCCATTATACGTATAGTGTAGTTAGGTAAATAATTTTCACTTCCAACAATATACTCCATTTCTTATATAGGTAAGTACAGAAAAGGATTATAAATGCATTCTGTAAGCCAGTGAAAGTCTTATTTAATCTGTCACTACAATAATTTATGCTAAGAACCATATATATTTTTAGATATTGTTATTTTTGTTAATTTTTCTAGGTTAGTGAGGAGATGGAAAACCTTCATTGTTTGATGTTAAAATATAATAAGACTAAATTTAGTTCTAGTATGAATTTTCAAATGTGGTCATTATCTATTGATTTAATTTTTTTTAAGTCCCTCATTAGATTTAATTGGTGTTTCAAAGAGTGGTTGGAGAACTTGGCCCTTATCTGATTTCTAGAAATGTTTTTGACTATGGAATCCAAGTTTCAAATGAAGTTAATGATTTCAGTGTGATTCAGTCCTCAATCTTAACTGGGTTGAGTAAAATCTAAAAGAATATATCCTTTTGTAGCATAACAACATTTTCATATTGTGGGGAATGTGAAACTACCAAAAGAAGACTACTAACATGTCAGATGTGTTTACTTTGGAAGCTTGAACAAGGAGCTCGAACCACCCTTTTTGGCCCCATTAATTGTAGCAAGTCTGTTTCTCTATACTTTGTTATTCAATGAATTGATGTCCTGTGGTATACTGCATTAGTTAGAGAAAAATGTTTTTAATATTCTCTTAACAATGGCCCAACAAGCACTTGACACAGCAAGTTGCATGTGTTATTATATTGAGAATATAGAATAATACAGTATCACTAAATTTAAGACCTCTTCCCAGTCTTGCTGTTCCTAGCAAGAAGTTTGGCCTGTGACTGCACTTACTGTTTGTGCTCATCAGAAACTGTCAATGTCTGCTTTCCTTTACCTTTGCAGTCTGTAACATCACGCTGTCTTATTAAAAAAAAAAAATATTTTGACTTGTGTCCAAGCAATCCTTAGTGTACTATATAAACAAAAAACTGTGATAAGTATATTTTGGCATTTCTTTTGAAAAGCAAACCAGTGTTGTTAATAATCAAAATTTAGCTGTATTTGAGTTATTTTCAATGATTAAGGATACTTGATTGAAAATCTGAAACTATTAGACCCTAAAAACCAATTCTGCCCCGATGAAGTGATGAATATTAGAAAAATGTGTTTAAATGTGTACTTTCTTTAAGCATAAAGAATTATATGTTTGCATTTTAAGCAGAAATGTATGTACATACATATATGTATGAATTAATGTGTGTAGATGGACTTTTTTTCCCAAGTCATTTGAAGACCAGAACCTAGAAGTGAAGTTAGGCTAGAGGCAAGCTGGTTTTGCTTTCAGTTATCATAAACGTAGCAAAAGGTAAGTGTGAGCTTTTCTTTGACCAGTAATGCACATGAGCATTAACAACTTAGTACTTCTGAGCAGTTAAACAAATCATTACTTATATTTTATTTATTTGCCAAATGGTTTGAGTGACTTTGAATTGACTTTGTTCCCCAAGGATAATCTCTCTCTTTCCTGGAATGAACCAAGTAGCCACTATCTGAATGGAAAACTGGTAATTGAAACACATACTTTACATTTCAAATTAGTGATTCTGAACTTGTTAGAAAAATCCTAATTGCATATTGTTAGGTAGAAGTCAAATTTACTAAGAAGTAGAATAGAAATGTGCCTTCAGTTTAAGAAAACTATAGAATCTCAACTTACAGAATGATTTTAAATGTGCATGCATATGTTTTTTTCTTACAGAGAAGTCTTTGGTATACAAAATGATTTACCACCACCTTTCAGACAATAAGTGTTCAGCCTCAAATGTACATCACATTCAGCCAAGAGAGCAGGGGTGGAGCCAAGGGGAATCAAGTCTCAAAACCCCCTACCCCCAGCTCTCCAGTGATAAGTACCAAGGCTCACTGCGTGTTGCAGATTGGCACAAGGTTTTTAAATCTATGTTCCAACATTTTTTAGTACCTTTACTAAATGCTAGAAACTAAGCTAGGTGTGTCACATACCCTATTTTGTTTATTCCTTAAAATAACCATGGAAGAAGTTATCCCCATTTTATAGATGAGAAGAGAGAGGTTCAGGCAGTTTAGCTAATCTGCCCAAGGATACATATGTTAAAAGTTGTCATTATGGCCTACCAAGTCAAATAATCCTACTGAGACAAGTGTTCTCTCCTCCATTCCACACTAGAAATAGAAGAAAACACCAGGATTACTCATTACTGGGCAAATCACCATTCTGTCTTTCATTATTCAGTTTACTTAGTAATTTGTGACTTGAAATTAATTGCTAAAAGGCATTAAGCTGACTTAGAATCACAGGTTTCGGTTTGATTACATGTGAAAGTAGCTTCAAAAATCCTGTTTTCCATAATTTAAGATTTTTTAGTAAAATTTTAAAGATACTTTGAAGCACATTGGAAAATCAGCACAAACTCTTTTCAACTCACAGTTAATTAGTCTGGAACGCACTTGTGCTTTGTTGGGAAAGTCTTGTGACATCATGACTTGCCATGGCTAATTCATTAATCGAAGGACAGGCAGTGGTCGACCAGCCCTGTGGAACTTGTCTACCTTGTGGATTACCTGAGATGAATGCTGAAAGCCGGTACGGCCTCGCCACATCCTCCCACTCCCACCCGAACGACCTTGAAGGGCAGCTTAGGAAGAACATTAATAACTAGAAAAACGTTGCCGAAAGAAAAATTACACGGCAAGGTTAAATACAAATAACTCTAGATGTAGTGAATTTTCTAGGTGGCAGCTTTCCTCCGTCATGAATGGTGAAAAAAGAACGTGTTCCCTCAAGTTTTCTGCCAGATTCTTATCTTCCTCTCGTAAATGAACTATTCTCTACTAAGAGTGTTTTTTGAGAAATATTTTGATGTGAACTGTATTACATAGAGTTGGGTGGATAGTTCGGGGGTCCTTAGGTGAGATACCCTCGTTTGTTTCCGTAAGTCGGGTTCTAGCTGGAACTGAAATTGCTTAAAGGATACCTTGGACTCATTTGCCATGCGGGGGAAAAGTGCTTCCTTGGCTTTTGCAGAGAGAGATTTCGAGTAGAAAAGGAGATGAACTATATGTACTTATAGAATAAAGAAAATGCATAATGAGGCTTTTCCCCATGTGAAAATAGGACGCATGAATCACCCTCCACATGGGTCTTTGCAAGCAGGAATAGTTGGGTCCTAATTTGGCCGCCGTCTTAAGATTTCTCTGCTCGTTTCTTTGCTCCTCCCCGTACTCCACAGTTTGAATCGATGCCGTCCTGTAAAGGATACTTTGCCACCTACCTCATCTCTGACCGCAGTGCCGTATTTTTCACACAGGAAGGAAAGGTACTGTGTTAGTCGCACCATGCCAACAATCAGGACACCACCTAGCAGAGTCAGTGACGGCCAAAATAAACAGTGGAAGATAACCATCTGGTCATACTTTTTTGTAAGAATGACTCTTTTCGATCTGTCTGGACTATAGAAGCATGAAAAAGGAGTTCCATTTTTGTGATCGAAGAATTTCTTTACGTCCAGAGCCCTGCTGAGCAAATAATTCCTATCTTGGTGGCACTTGGGTGTGTAAAAGCACTAGGAATATGGGAGAGGAAAAAAAAAAAGGTAAGGGCCCTATCACCAATACCAAGTACTTAATAGTTTTGGTTCTGAAATAGCTTCAGGCTGAAGCTATAGTGGCAGGAGTTTCAATCTTAAAAGGTGGTAAAGTATTACACAGCTTCGTGGCGAAGGATCACAAGAGGACCAGAGTGAAATGGTCATTTGTGAGGGCTAAGCGTGGGATGTGGGAAGGAATTCCTAGAGTTTGCACCATTGCAGGAGAAGCACTGACCAATGGCATAAGGACTATGACTGCTGCCCACATGCAGGTCCTTAGTCTTTTCCTGGAAAGTATGCATCCATTTGTCCATTCAACAAAAACGTATTGAACCCTACTGCAAGCTTTCGACACCTAGTAATGCCTCTTGTCTTTCTCTTGATCTACTGCAGCAAAATCTCCCTAAAGAAAAATGCATGGAAGCTTTTGCTCTAGGCCCACGGACAGCTAGTCCCACCTGGGCTTTGGTTCCTGGGAGGCAGAACCAGCGGAGAGAAGAGAGCTCCGTCAGCTGGTGATTTTTCGAAAAAACTTGAGGTTTATCACCATATGCATTAGGCACCTGATCTACTGTGTTATAAGCGTCTACAAAATGTCCAAAGGCTTAGAAATAATTGCATCCAAATAAAAAACTACCAGACTGAAATTAGTACTTAATTAAAGATAACCAAGTGTAACACGTCAACCAATCTAACAACTTGTATAGTTAGGTGTAAATATAAATAATATGAACCAGTTGTGTAACTCATTAAAGTAAAAATTATAATAACCTTTTAAAGTTATTTGATAAGAAAAATTCCATGCTTGGTTTAAGGTAGACTGAGTACATTTTAACATGTTTGATAATGATGGGAAGTGGCATCTTTACAGGTAAGACTGACTGCAAATTACTCATTGGCTCAGCCAGCACATTCCAGATACCACGCTGTCACTCAGGTTGGTGTGTTTTGGCATGATCACAACGATCATGGATCATGACATCCTTGATCTCTTGGGCTCAGGCAATCCTCCCACCTCAGCCTCCCAAGTAGCTGGGACTGCAGGTGCATGCTGCCACACCCAGCTAATTTTTTATCGTTTTTTTAGAGAGGAGGTCTTGTCAAGTTGCCCAAGCTGGTCTTGAATCCCTACATCCAAGCAATTCTCGCCTTGGCCTCCCAAAGTGCTGGGAGTACAGGCGTGAGCCACCATACCCAGTCAGTTCCTCTCCTTTCTATATGCTCTGTTTCTCCTCCAAGAATGCGTTTAGCTTCATTTATCCTGATTTGATCACTATTAAATTGTTCACCAAAAGGAAACAGATGGATTTCTAGAGACTGTCCTGGGTTATGTACCCTGCTAGGGACAGTCTGCCATGGAAGGGTCGCTATAACAAGAGCTCTAATTTCATGAACTTTACATTACCTTGGAATTTGTCTGGACAGCCTCTTCATTGTAATGTAGAAGAGCTTTCTGACCCGAGTGGGTGAGGTTCACAAACACCTGAAGGCATGGGTACTTCCCCTGACATCGGCAGTCTAAACCACAGGAGAAGGCACAGTCCAGCCAGTCGTCCGTGATCTGTGTGTGGATGGTTGTGCAGCTCGATTCTTCTCTCTGAGTGCTTCTATTTGAAAAAATACATGTTCTTCACCTACTATAAAACTAAATTCTCCATTTCCTACATGGTAGCCCAAGGCATTTGTCTGTTTTGAGGTGCTATAGGACCCTTACAGAAGGCATGGAGGACACAGAGACAGATGAACAGCAGCCAAGTGCCAAGTTCCATCTCACTTCTGATCCTCCTGCCATGTTTCTTACTATGCTAACCCTTAGATCAATGGGTTTTGAACTTCAAATCCTCCTGAATGAATTTGTTAGAGTGAAGGATGTGTTCAAATGTGGATCCTACGGCTTCACTCCCAGAGATTCTGGTTCAGTAGGTCTGAGTTGAGGCCCAGGAATCTGTATATTTATAGTATTTAAGAAGCAAGTATTTGGAGACTACACTGGAAGCAATGTTACCCTGAATATCGTAACCGCCAAGATTTGCACTCACTCAGAAATCTCATCATCTCTCGTGCCTATCATCTCAAGGCGCCCACTGATGAAAATGTGCCTTTGGGCCGGGCACAGTGGCTCATACCTATAATTCTAGCACTTTGGGAGACCGAGGTGAGAGGATTGCCTGAGCCTATGGGTTTGAGACCAGCCCAGGCAACTTGGCGAGACCTCATCTCTACAATAAATCAAAAAATTCCTCGGGTGTGATGGCGTATGCCTGTAGTTCCAGCTACTTGGAAGGTTGAGGCCAAAGGATTACCTGCCTGAGCAGGTCAAGGCTGTGGTAGCCATGAGGATGCCACTGCACTCCAGCCTGGGCGACGATATGAGACTACAACCCAATCAATCAATCAATCAAGTCAGAAAAGCATTGTTTAGCTAGGCTCATACAGCACTCTCAATATCTTTGACTGTAAGTAACATTTTTCTTTATTAATACAGCTTACCGAGACACACTGTGCAGATTAACATGACCCCAAGGTCCAGGGTAAAACACTCACTAGCTATGGCCGAAGAAAAAAATATCAGGCAAGTGAAAACATGAACATGGAAAATCAGATTCTTTCATAGATTTAGTGCCAGCCTGTTTTTTCACCAAGTTGCTTTATATACTTGTTTAAACAAGGCATCTTGAGATAGTACTTCAGAGTTAACTGTTAGAACTCCAGTTCTCTAAATCTTGACCAAGTTCTGAACTGAGTCTGATTGGATCTGAATTTTCCACAAAGATTTTAGAAAGTTCTATTCTTTAGAGTGGTGCATTGTATGTGCAAGGGCCAGGTCAGAGTCTTTCTCATAGAACCGGGGATGTGTTTAAAGCTGAAGACACGAGTACGTTCCTTCAGTAGCCTTCGGTGTCCTTCTGCCTACAGCTGTGACAAAACCTGTCATTTGAGAGATGAGGGACTGAGGGAGTGGGCAAGCATGAGCTCCTGGCCTTCTTAACTACCATTTTTTTATGGAGTAAAGCTCTCTCTGAGATGGCACAGGAGCATGAGGCAGGAGAGAGAGGAGAGCGTGCCTCTCTTAAGCATTCGCTTAATTACTTTAACTTAGCAATTTCCAGGAATGCTTAGAAAAGCAAAAAATGTGAGCCTTGAACAATTGTCATAATACTATAAGAAAAGGATTGGCAGCCGAGCTCAGCCTGTAATTCTACGCTTTGGGAGGCTGAGGTGAGTGGATTGCCTGAGCCCACGGGTTCAAGACCTGCCTGGGCAACTTGGCGAGACCTCATCCCTACAATAAATCAAAAATCAGCTGGGTGTGGTAGCGCGCACCTGTAGTTCCAGCTACTTGG